AATATTTCCATAGTAGGAATTAATGCACTTTGATCAACAATTCTGCAATGATCAGTCGGTCAGCTGGTTCTTTAAAATAACCAACGTTCTTCACAGTGCCGCAACTTTATGCGTCCCTCTCACTGAAATAATATGTTACACAACACAGTCCCTTGTTGAAGGGCTGTGGATGCAAATTGAAGTAGGAAAGTAAGTTGAGAGCCTTGATCGTTTATTGGAGGAAAAAATTCAAAACTAATGTACCGCCACTTTTATGGGCGGAACTTCCCTCCAGCGCGCTTCAAATTGCAGACATGCTGTCTGCATTATTTGTAACAACTTCTGTAAATGTGAAAACAAAGTGTGTAACCTATTGTAGTAAGTTATCAACATCTAGCACTACTTCGGCGTCAAATCAGTGCCTGGAATTGCTGTAAACTGTGTAACCATATAAACGACTTGTGGTATGTGACCTGCCCTGCCACAGTACATTGTATGTTCATTGCTACTCGATTATGTAAAAGTTCTATCTTTCTTCATGTGGTAAAAATGCTTACATTTTATCATAACAGTATATGACAGAATCACATGGCCTCAGCTTGCATTTGTGAGGAATGGAAGTTATTTTCATGAGTATTGCAGTGTATTCCGTGGCTGTATTTTCATGAGAAAAGTGAATGAAAATACAGCTTTACATCATGTCATTGCAGGCAATAATTGTACCTTAAAATCTGTATTATAAGCTGCATCCCTAATAGAAGTCGCAACCATTTTTTTTTTGAATAATTGAGTAGCAAGAAATTTATCATTTCTCATATGTGTAGAGGCTCTAATAAAAGCCGTATCCCCACTGTTGCATTGTATCATTTTAACAGGAGCCACGGTTTCTAATACAGATTTTACAGTAATTATAATATCAGAGGCTGCAAGGATGCAATCTTTGTACAAGGTACTTTTCAGTGTTGGAAAAAAAAAATTGTGCATGGAAATTATTTTCGCTGAAAGAATGATTCAGTGAAAATAAAGTCCAACGAATATACCTTTTTTTCTTATTTTTACCTTATTTTACATTCAAGTCAGTCATTTTTCAGGAAAAAATTAATTCCAGCTAAATTAAGGTATTTTACAGTATATTTAATTTGTTAGGGTAATCTACAAATCCATTATGATTTGTTCATGTAAAGAAATCATGGTCATTTTCGTCTGCATAACATCCACTGCTTCACCCATTATTCCCTACATATTACTTTACCTGGGACATGTTGCTAAGACTGGGAAATGTAATTTTTGTGTGGTGGAACATTGGATAAAACTATTTGATAATTCTGCATAAAATACTGCAGAACACTACTCAAAAGTAAAAAATAAGTGTAACTTTCCTCTATTTTAAAGTAGGATGAGTTCATGACAAAATTTAGAGAAACTTTATGTGTAAAAAAGTGTAAAAATGAAATGTTTTATCAGACTTAGAACATTTTACAGTAGTTTTACTGTACCTATGTAAATTGACACAGAATGCAGTTTTGTTTTATATGAATGAATAAGTTAAATGGTCAGTTCTTATTTCACAGTTATCAGGTAGAAAAGATTTGGTGATAGATCCAGAGTTAATGAGGCCATTAGACAGAATTGCAGGAGCCTCTTTATTGAAGGTAAGACCATTCTAAACTATTATTTGAACACCTGGTTGAATTGACTGACAGAGATCACGCTAGCCTTTTTGGTCATTGCAACGTAAAATTTGAATTCAAACATTTTTACAATCCAGACGTATATCTAGGATTCATGAGTAATATAGATCTAAATACTTGAATGCATATTAAAATGTTGGAAATATATTTTGTGTTTTATGTCAGTCTCATGTGATACATACAATGTTTACACAAAATGAAAATGCAGTTTGTGAGTAAACGATTGGATAAAATACTACTGTAACAATTACTTCTGTCAACTAATACAACATCTTCACACTGTTTTTTTTTTTTTTCAAAATCAATGTTGTGTACTCTGTGATAATTTCAACAATCAATTACATCAATACTGTTAATAATATTGAGCAAACATTTAATTCTAGTGCAACATGTTGATTTCATTGCAAAACTGTATTATCATTTTCATCCATAACTTTTATATGTAGGACCAGCTTCTATTTTTGTTCGCCTTCATTGTAACAGTAAAATAATGACTTATGAAGATAATATTGTAAAATGCTTTTTTTTCACTTGGAATTTATTTGTTCTGTTTTAACTGAGCTGGTCAATCAGGACTGTACATGTATGTACCAGTTAGTCAATTATTAATTATCTATTTACTCTTTCCTTCAGCAACATGGAGTGGACAAGATATTCAAGTTGGAGGCAAATAGACTTCAAGTTGGCTGTGATCAGTAAGTATATGTCACAGATTCCATGGCGACCATTTCCAACAATTTCTAACTGGTAGACATGTTGTTAATGAAGATAACTTTGACACCTTTACAAACATGTCAGTGACACCTATACGAACATGTCAGTGACACATTTACAAACATGTCAGTGACTCCTCCTATACAAAGATGTCAGTGACTCCTATACAAACATGTCAGTGACTCCTTTACAAACATGTCAGTGACTCTTTTACAAACATGTCAGTGACTCCTTTACAAACATGTCAGTGACACATTTACAAACATGTCAGTGACTCCTTTACAAACATGTCAGTGACTCTTTTACAAACATGTCAGTGACTCCTTTACAAACATGTCAGTGACTCCTATTCAAACATGTCAGTGACACCTATACAAACATGTCAGTGACTCCTTTACAAACATGTCAGTGACTCTTTTACAAACATGTCAGTGACTCCTATTCAAACATGTCAGTGACACCTATACAAACATGTCAGTGACTCCTTTACAAACATGTCAGTGACTCTTTTACAAACATGTCAGTGACTCCTTTACAAACATGTCAGTGACACCTTTACAAACATGTCAGTGACTCCTTTACAAACATGTCAGTGACACCTATACGAACATGTCAGTGACTCCTTTACAAACATGCCAGTGACTCCTATTTAAACATGTCAGTGACACCTATACAAACATGTCAGTGACTCTTTTACAAACATGTCAGTGACACCATTACAAACATGTCAGTGACTCCTTTACAAACATGTCAGTGACTCCTTTACAAACATGTCAGTGACTCCTTTACAAACATGTCAGTGACACCTTTACAAACATGTCAGTGACTCCTTTACAAACATGTCAGTGACACCTATACGAACATGTCAGTGACTCTTTTACAAACATGTCAGTGACTCCTTTACAAACATGTCAGTGACACATTTACAAACATGTCAGTGACTCCTTTACAAACATGTCAGTGACTCTTTTACAAACATGTTAGTGACTCCTTTACAAACATGTCAGTGAAACCTTTACAAACATGTCAGTGACACCATTACAAACATGTTAGTGACTTCTTTACAAACATGTCAGTGATTCCTTTACAAACATGTCAGTGACTTCTTTACAAACATGTCAGTGACTCTTTTACACCC